TGGGCGGGCTCCGCCCTCCTTATATCTAGAAACGTGTCTTACTCAAAAATCTCTCTCCTTCCCACAGCTTAGGCTTTCAGATTGTATCTGTAAGAACCCTTGGTATATCTTTCGTATCTGTATATATCCCCCATCCTAACCATTCACTTATTCTGGAATTACAACACATCCTTTCCAATATCCCTCCCCCCCTCATGGTTCTAGGTGACTTTAATTGCCGGCACACAATGTGGGGATCACATTGCACTGATCCTTCATCTTCATTCCTACTAGATCTATTGGATGATATTAACCTTTGCGTTCTAAATGATGGTACTCCTACCCGCCTTGCAGGTCCTTCCCAGAACCCCAGTTCCATTGATCTAACCCTATCTTCCCCATCTTTAGTAAACAAACTCCTATGGCATGTACTACCAAACTCATTTGGAAGTGACCATACTCCTATTATTATAACAATAATTAACTCCTCCAGCTCCCAAATTGCAAATCCCAAAATTCCACAACCTCTTCTAAAGTATAGAATAACAAAAGCCAACTGGCAAAAATTCTCCTCTCTCCTTGACGAAAAAGTAAACAACATCCCTCCAGATTGTAGCCATATTCAGCAATATAATGATTTCGTTTCTGCATTACTCTCGGCTGCCGATGATTCAATCCCCGTTAAAAACAGTTCCCTTAAAAAATACCTTCCCCTCCTTGGTGGGACTCAGAATGCACTGCCAGCGTTAAACAACGCAACGAGGCTGAGAACAAATATAAACTAAACCTAACTATGGATAATTATGTCAACTTCCGTAAGACCAGCGCCCATACTAAAAGACTATTAGCAAAGAAAAAAAAAATGGGATGGTACACTTTTTGTGGATCATTATCACCAAGAACATCCCCTTCGCTGGTATGGAAAAAAGTCAACTGCTATCGTAAATCACGTAATTGCCCCAATGAGGACTCCAATGACTCAGCATCTTGGTTGGAAGACCTACTCAACAAATTAGCTCCATCATATGTTCCTTCTCAGGACAGTTTCCCATCCTTTCTTCCCTCTTCTACTTCCAATAATAGATTGGATGAGCCGTTTTCGTATGATGAACTTTGTTGTGCACTAGACCATCTTAATGACTCTTCCCCAGGCATAGATGGCATACCCTATTCTTTCATCACAAAATCTTCAGTTCTCGCCCAAAAGAAACTGCTTGATATCATTAATGCTGTTTTCACTACAGGAATCATTCCTGAATCCTGGAAGACTCAAATTATAGTCCCTATTTTAAAGCCTGGGAAAAACCCGTCACATTCTGATTCATATAGACCAATAGCGTTATCCTCCACTCTCGCTAAAATCACGGAACATTTAATTAAAAATAGGCTTGAATGGATCATAGAGACCAAGGGGCTATTAGCAAACAGTCAATTTGGTTTTAGACGGGGAATGGGAACTATTGACAATTTAAGCATTTTGACCACTGAGGTCCGCCTTGCATTCTCAAAAAATGAACACCTTATTGGTACCTTTCTTGACATCTCATCTGCATATGATAATGTCCAACTCCCAGTACTCAGGCAGAAAATGCAACAGCTGAGTATCCCTGCGAGATTAATACATATCATTTGTAACCTCTTTATGTGTAGATCAATTTCTCTACGCGTTAATGGTATTTTGCTTCCCCCGAGGCTAGTTTGGAAAGGCTTACCCCAAGGATCGGTCCTAAGTCCAATTCTTTTCAATATATACACCTCCGACCTAGAGACATCTGTCACATGTTTTTGTAAAATATTACAGTATGCAGATGATATTGTACTGTTTGCAGTATCAGATTCCCCACATGACTCTACATCCCGTTTGAACAGTGCATTGTGGTACCTAAACCAATGGTTAGAAGATCATGGTTTGTCTTTATCGATTCCAAAATGCTCTGCGGTTGTTTTTACTCGCAAGAGGCAAATCCCTACTATCCAACTTGCACTCAATGGTGAATATATCAGGATTGAGGACAAAGTAAAATTCCTTGGCATGATCCTAGATTCTAGGCTCACAGGTCTTCAACACATTGCCTACATATCCAACAAGTGTGAAAGCAGCATTAATATTATAAAAGCTCTCTCTGGAGTTCGATGGGGTTCTCACCCCTATAGTCAAAAACTTCTATATAATGCTTTAATTAGAAGCCACTTTGATTATGGTTGCTTTCTTTTAGAACCATGCAACAAAATTGCCATTGCCAAGTTTGATAGGCTCCAAGCTAAATGTCTGCGCATAATTTTGGGTGCAATGAAGTCGTCTCCGACTAATGCTCTCCAAGTAGAATGTGTTGACCCCCTCTCCACCTCCGTCGCCAATTACTTTCTGACCGATTCTTCTTTAATGTAGCCCAATATAATACTCATCCTTTGTTTCGTGCCCTTGATTCCCTTTCTGATCTAGTCTCTACATCTACTTACTGGTCACACAAAGATCTGCCCCCAATAGTCAATAGTTACCGTAAACTTAAAAACCTACCAACCCAAATTATTAAAGTCCATCGAAATCCAATTTTTGAATTCGACTACGACTCCTTAATATTCCAACCTAGAGTCCTATTTAATCTTGGTATTCAGAAAAACTCTCCGACAGCCAATCAGGACCTAAATAAAATAATATCAGAAAACTTTAATGAATGGACCTTATTCTTTACGGACGCATCTAAAATAGGGGATGATTATGATGTTGGTTTTTCTGTCTGGATCCCTAAATATAAAATAGCTTTGAACTTTAAATCCCCACCTATGACATCTACATTTACTGGAGAAACACTAGCCATTTTAGAGGCCGCCTCGTATATTAAGTCTCACAATATTAACAAGTCCTTGATATTATCAGATTCACTGAGTTGCTTGCAGGATATCACTAGACTACTATTCCACTCTAAAAACATATTTCTTGTCTCCATGCAAATTCGTGAAATTCTACACAAATGCCAGCGTTCTGGACTAGAAGTGGTACTGGCATGGATACCGAGTCATTCTGGTATACTAGGCAATGAAGTTGTAGACTCATGGGCCCGGAAAGCGACATTAATTGGTTGCAACACCCACAATCGTTACCACTCTCGTGATTTGCGAAGTCATATGAAACCTCAAATGTTCAAGGCTTGGAATGACATCTGGCAAAAGTCACGGCTACTAAAAGCGAAATATTACGGAGAAATCCAACCGCTCATTCCCAATAAACCATGGTTCTTCAAACATCGTAAACTGGAAAAATGGGTCACGTCTGTAATATGTCGCCTCCGCTTAGGACATGTCTGCACTCCTACATTTCTATGCAAGATTAGAGTCCGCGATCATTCACTGTGCGAATGTGGCTTGGATGAAGGAACTCTGGAACATCTTTTCTTCAAGTGCCCAAATTTATCAGTCCAACTGTATGATATCCTTCCCCACGACCTTCCCCGTCCTATCAATATATCATTTCTCTTAACTTTGTCCCATCCCTCCATAGTCAGAATACTAGCTAAATTTATAACTAACAATAATCTGAAATTGTAACTCCCAACCGGCTCCCCTTAATAAATTAAGTTAAAATATTAAGTGTCTGTTTGTATTGTCCTACTAACTAGTATTGTCCACCTAATAATGTTTAAATAATAATAAACCCTACTAATAATTGTTTGTTGTCCCTCAGGTGTTGTGCTGTCCTTTACTATAATATACCGAACCCGAACGAAACTGTCAAAGTTTACCGAGTAAACTAAAATAAGCCACAGCTACAAATTACACTGTGTCTCTCAAACCATGACATTGGCAAAATCACCGATCAAAATTGGTGGCGGCCATTTAAAATAAAGAAGAAGAAGAAATACAAGAGCCTTTTTACTTTGCCACAATTAGCATGTCAAAATTTTGAGGCGTAGAGGTTCATTTTTTATTTTTATTCACCCACTGACGGCAAATGATGAAACCTATAAGGCTACTGCCAAAAGATATCGATGTCTGTTCATCTCTGCCGCATATACACAATTAAATGAATACACATGAGACAAAACATAGTCTAATCACCTGCTGGAAAGCAGCATTGCATTTGATCTGATATGTGTATTTGCTGTAGTAGATATCGCGGAAATTATTCGATAGTCAAATTATTTATTATACACAAATTTATTTTGCTATAGTAGATTCTGCTTTTTTAATTTGTAATTTCAAAAATCAACTTCAACAGAAACTATGATTTGTATTTTAAAATATAATTAGCGTAAGTATATGTTCTACAGTAACTGATTAAGGTAAAGTAAGAATAAATCCAATTATTTACAGGAATAATAATCAAAATTGGTTTTAATGTTGTATGATATACACACATAAAAAATCGAATTGAAGTCAGCTGCTTTTATTGTACAAGTATTAATATTGTTATGTCATTAATGCAACATCCTAGCATCTTTCACGTTCTAGTGGTCCTTCCATTTGGTGTAATACTCAGAACGGGAAGTCTTCCAATTTGCTAATATCTTTACTTTTTTTTTTACTTTAATTTTGTTTCTCGTACAATGAAAATAAAAAAAATACGTTTATATAAAAGTTTTATATTATTGATATTTATAATTTTTATACAAGAATTCATATTAAATTGATGTAATAATAAATAAGGGTTAATCTATCTTTGTTACGGTACTTAATCTATTCAGTGTTGTCTTAAATTTGAATGACTACTTGATGTTTTTTTATTGATATGAAATTATATACAGTATACAGTTTTATATCAATAAAAAATTTACTTAAAATAATATTCCTGATTAAAACATTATAAATTAATTAAATTATTCTCAAAAACGCGCTAAGATGTAAGGGCGGAAAATTTCCCTACTCTATTATTATATATTTATTTGTTACTAATAATAATCTGTATGTACATGTAAAGTTAAATTAAGATACTTTTAATTTCAGACATAGTAAAATTACTACGTATAGACAAAATTTTATATTCAACTATACACATACTTGTATAAGCTATATAAATGCTGTTATGTTGGTTATAATTAAAAATCATCACTAACAATAAAATATTTTAAATAATAAGTAATTATCCAAAATTATTACATAGGTGTTAATCTCTCTGGTTCCTTTTCTTCTTTAACAGTATAAACAGATCGTCTAATGGCTCCTCCTTCACATCTAGAACCGGAAACGTGGTTTAAAACTTCCGGCAATGATTCTCCTTCAGAGTTTATTATTGTTTCGTCTGTAAAATTTCCACTTAAATCTCGTCAAGATCGATGCAAAAATTCCGGTGTCAAAACTTTTTGAGTTGTTGCTTTTAATACTTTCTCATGATGCTTCAAACGATGTACAATTTCATCGTGGAGTACGTTAAAGCACATAGCTGTCAGCGCTAATCCAGTCATTATATAGATAGAACAAAACCAAACTGTGCCCGACGAAGCACCATTTTTTTGCGTTGCACCGGGAGCTAAATGACCGAATCCGATAGTACTAAGACTCATAAAGCAAAAATATACACCATCAATGGGACTCCATCCCTCTAATTGGTACAGAACGAGAGCACCGAAAAATATGTATGTAAAAATAGCTGCGAGGCATAAAGAAACTGGTGCAAGAATCGAAAAGCCGCGCAATGAGACTTTAGAATCTGTATCTGTACAGCTCATTGAGTCGCAATCCCTTAGAAAACTCAAACTTTGAGATTTATCTTTAATAGAATTTGTACTGATGGTATGTGCTTGAGATGCTGATATTATAGTACCCGAAGGTGACCGTACGTAATAAGGTTCTTGGAGATGTAAAGTTTGGTTTCTGAAGTCATCGTGTCTTCTTACTTTCTCTTTTCGTTCTTTGCTTGCCATAGTTCTTTCATCGAGGCAACAATATCCACATTTTGTGCACAGACAGCAACATAACGCTCGACTAAAAACACTCCGAGCAAGTCTTGACAATAAAGCTCCAACTACTGATAGATATAGAAGAGTCAGCGGAATACCTACTACGGCATATCCAATTGTAACAGCTTTTCCTAAGGCTGTTTTTGGGGCTACACTTCCATAACCTGCAACATATCCAAAATAATTAACAAAATGTTAATTCCAATTAACTTTTTTGTTTCCAAGCTAAGCTGGATACTTATGTGAAGATTGGGTTCAAATACTATATAATTTTATATGTAATATTTTAAATCATCATCAAATGAACAAATTTATATAGAACTGAAAATTCTCAACAATAATGTAATTATAATATACATACCTATAGTTGTGAGAACTGTCAATGAGTACAAGAACGCTTTAGCGAAATTCCAGTCATACTCATCGACTACCAAAGCTGGGGCTGATTCCAAGGCTCTAGCACCACCATATTGTGCGGACACATCAGCTGCTACTCTTGCCACTAACTTTTCTTGAAATCTAGCTATTTCTTGGGCAGCTAACCTTGTCCAATTTTCTTTATATAGAATATTTAAGGACACAGTTATTTCCCAAATACTTTCAACGGTTTGTGATCGAAGCTCGGCACTGGCCTGTGTTATACTCCCATTAATCTTAGATAATGGCACCTTTTGGTTATCGCTAGCTTGGTAGGAGGTAGTTGCCAATGTTTTCTGATGTATTTTTGAAGCGTTTCCCTCAATAGCTAAAAAAATAAAAGCTCCCAACAGAGTATAAGCTAATAGTAGGACGAATATTCCAAGATTTGTAATACAGCCAGCAACTATCGTTTTCTTTTTGCTCTTTTTAGTCTTAACACAGAAACAGCAAGTTGTGACGACGTCATCATCAGGTCTATAATTATCAGTTTTTCCATTTTTTTTATATTTTCCATTCACATGATTCTTCTTCTTATTCTTGTCCATTTTTTATTTCATAAAGATATACTAAACATTTTTTCGTCTAATTTTCTATTACCGGTTCAAGTTATCTGTAAAAGAAAAAGTATATTTAAACAATGCTCAAACTTGTCCTCTTGTGCCTGCAAGTATCAACAACATAGGGTTTTCTATTATATATATATATATATATATACATATATATGTAACAATATAGGTAATCCCACTTTTACTTCGTGTACTTAAATTTCAAAGCTCAGCAGACCATAATACAAAGTGACTATACCAGTGAAAGGCGTGTCGATAAAAAAAGGAAAAAGGGAGAAAACAAAATCGCGTATTAGCATATGTATTGAGTAGATCCCGATTAGATAATTTTATTGAACACAAAAATTCGTTTTATGTTTGTAAGATATTTAAAAACATTTTTTATTTATTAATAGTTTCAATGTTTTTCTAGAATAATATTAATTCATCCATTAAATTCATTAATAATATATGGTACTGACTTACATAATATTTACCTACAACCAATTGAGTTTTACTACTTATTATATAAATTTATTACTCTAACCTATATACATAGAACTTATACACATACTCTTGATGGGTTAATTTTGTATAAATATGATTAGATAGAGATCATTATTGTTAACATTTTACAATAAGTCTTACTCATTACAATTGTTAATTTGCATAAATGATTAATTGTTATTATTAAAAAAAAATGTTACTGTTGTATGTTACTATGGATTACAAGGATGGCCAAAAATGAAATGGAAAAGTATAAAAGATGATATAGGATGAAAAGGAGTAATAACGAGAAGAATTGATGAGAAAAAAGTGATACGAATTAAATAATTAATTATAATAGTAGATATGAAAAAAACATAAAAAAATATGACTGAACAAGATAATAGCGTTCTGTTGTCTATCCTTTCATAATGAAAAGTGTGTTTCACTTTTCATTATGAAAGGAAAATTTAATAACAATATTTTGTTCCGAGTTATACTTATGAAAACTTATAACCGTCTCATTTGCAACTACAAAACAAGAGTTTTCATCGCTACAGAACATTAAACAAAAACACTAATTACTTCCTACTACAGTATCCATTATATGCGACCTACAGTCTTCAAAGTTCTAAATGGTTTCTAGTAAATTTTAACTGCACAATATAATCCAGACCACTGTCTGTAGTATTTGCGGTACTACAGACAATTTCAACATATAAACCGCACAATAGTTGGAACCACATTACTAAATGACGACTTAAACGTATTAAAAATTCACAGACAGAGAGTGTTTGTCAGTACATTTATTTATTTATTTCAATATAAATAAATAAATGATTAAAAAAATGAACGAAAATAATTCAATACTAATAGTATTTTGTCCGATGTAATCATCCTTCAATCCCGTTATTTTAATAAATCGAAATATTTGTGAAAATTTAGATTATACTAGGAAACTAATTATAAAACAATTGTAAATAATAGTACTCATAAGTACTACGTTTAATAAGGAAATATTATTTTATAAAAATATGTATTGCTCTATGAATTTGCAAAATCGGAAATGTTTCAACTAGAGTCAGATATTTATAGTATATCAAAAAAGTATTCTTAAATTAAAATTTATCGTAATTAATTTAGTGTTATAGCAAATATAATTCGATACAGCAAAATGCCGCGTGCCACTTTGCTATATCGAATTAATAGCCGATATATAGTTTCTACTCTAGAGTAATTCACGTCGAGTATCGTTGCCGACGACAAAGGTACAAAATTAAGCGAACGTTTCATCCTGTATTCCACGGAGAGAAATGGATACGGTAGATAGACGGTGCAGATGTCGCCACTTGTGAACTAGTTAGAATGGCAGTGGTTAACTTGTGGTATTTGCGGTCAGGTCGAGTACCTTCGATACATCGACTACGAGTTCTACAATTATGGATTTAGATTTAATCAATTTTGTCTCTACATGTGCAGATCATCTTTGTGACATTTATTTAGAACTAGAAGTAGCGCGAGGTTCTGTATGTATGATGTCGTTATATTGAAATCTATAAGTATTACTTTAATATACCTTTTATTCGAACTAATAAACTGATTAAAATATAATAATGACATAAAATAAATGTACCAGTTAAGTTTCCTCCTAGTTCTTCTTAACTAAAGTTTCCAAGTAGTAAAGTTAGTCGAATTGAATTGTAAGGAAAGTAAAAATTATATGTATAAGCGGCATGTATAATGCCAATTTATTAATTAGGAAACATTAAATTTCACATTTCTAGACTCAGTAATATTGGCTTGTTAGTTGGTAAAAACATTAATCACAAAGCCTCCAAAAGGAATAGTTCAAACAATCCGAAATATAATTTAGGAACACAAAACTGTGTCTGTTAGTTTTATTTTTACGATTAAACTGCTAGCGAATCAATATGAAATTTAATGTTAAGATAGATTGCATGACGAGAAAGCACCTAGGATATGTATCTTTGAAAAAGGAAACGAAGTCATAGAAAACAGATAGTAGCAAAATATGAGAATAAGGTGCAATAACAGTGCTCATCTAGGTCGCCATTTACATTTTTTAATGCAAAGCAAAACTGTTTACATTTTAGTACTCGCGATATTACTTAAAGAGCTACTATTACAGCTAAAGTCAACTTTATAAAGCGAACTCTCTTGTACAAAGTATCAATTATCGGTTTCATCTCTGCGTTAATGTACCGGAAATGATGTGGCATGCGACTGTGGCTCGGATAACGTCATAACGGCCAAACTTGAACAATTTATTTACAATTTACCAAGTTTAATCCGCTTGTCATTACACTAATTCACTTGCGAGATTAAAATAAGTCTAAACATTAATTAGCTTAATAAAAAATGTGATTTTCATGTGATGTTATATAATGTCTTTGACAATAAATCTCTTACCGATGATTATTTTTCAAACAAAATAATTTACTTTTTCTTTTACTTACTTGCCACAACTTTGTCACGATTAATACTAAATGATTAATATATTATACATTTCTGAACTATATAATCCATACTACATATCCATCCAACTATATACGCTGAGTAACAATGAGTCCTAAATAAAGTGAAAACTAAGTATCAATATTGAATAACTATTAATTCTCTATATTAGCACATTGTAACTGTTCTAGTATAAAGATACAAAAAGATCTTTGATAAATTATTCTAAATCATTGAAACATCATATTAAAAATTGACTGAGTATAGACTTTGTAAAAAGTCATCTGAGTATACTGTTAGTCGCCAGGTATCTTGCTTTGTAAAATATGTTTCAGTTAAAGAATATACAAGACAAGAGGCATGATTTCTTAGTCCGGCGAAATGACAAAACATATAATAAGATGACATCCATGGGATTTTGTTTATAGGCGACGGTTACTGCATCAGTTGGATATTCAGTTTGCTATTTCATTTACATAAAATAAAGGTATTTAAATGGGACAAAATAATTGCTAATATAATAAAATCACTCAATACCACTCTGGAAGATATCTCTTCTAGGGATAAGTCCACATTTGCTCACACTGTCTTTAAATTAAATTATATCATGTATGTGTAATAAAGAATATATAGTTCCAAATATATAAATTTCTACGAACAACAGAAAGTAATCGTCATAGAAATTTAATGAAAAAAAATATTGTCAGTTTGTAAATATTCTACTTAGAAATATAAATAATAATATATATCTAACATGCTCTCTACAATCCCAAGTTACAAGAAGTTGGAATCGTTTTTACCTAGTGGTGCGAACTAATCGCAAACTTCCACAAATTCGCCAATCTCGTATCTGTTGGAAGTGACATTGTGCAAATTAGTTGCGTGATTGATTAACTTATAATATCACCACTGGGAAAACTAGTTTCAAAACATTTTATATATTACAAAGTACGGATTGTAGCGTAAATTATGAATAATTTTCCTAATGCTACTGTCATTTAAGATTCGTCGTTAATCACATAATGTATTTAATATATCTTTGTGATGGTGGTAGAATCGTCTTCTCAAATGTGACATTGAAAATATACTCGGCAAAATAAGTCATATCCAGTGCTATATGCACCACGTAGTCAGTTGAAAATGCCGTTTATCCCATCATTCTGGAATTCATGGGCACATTGGAATGTATTATATATTATTTTTGCTTATATCTGTTACACATAAGTCATTTCGCCCCATTTTAATTACAAATATATTTAACAAATAATAATAATAATATTTATTTCAAGAAAAGGCATTTCACACGAACCTATGACAATTAAACACAGTGGTCAGTTGTGTTTATTTACAACGGTCTCTGCACTAAGCATAGCTTGTATCGCAGGTCCAGACTATGTTTTACCTATTTAGTTTGTTTTAGGGCAGTCAGTTCTAATACAGTACCTATATAGAAATAAAATATAATTTCTTAGTGACTTATCTCTAAATCAATTAACCTAAATCCTTAATAAATATAGGAACCCTGGAACCTAAATTAACCTTATAATGTGTAGTTACTTGTTTTCTCATAAGTCAGTTTTTTAAACAATAATTCACAATATAAGTTTCGAAAATTGACAGGTAACAAAGATTTTGTGAGACTTCGTATAAACGTCCTTGATATTTGTTCTATATAAAAATGAAATGAAAGAATGCTTTGTAAAATTTAATAAAATCAGGTCATTTGAAGTGCTGAATATGAAAAAGTTTAGACGGAAAATTATACAAAGTTCCATTACAGTCGGTTTATTACTTTTCTAACCGTAGGTATAAGAGTATTTGTTAGGAATTCTGCACTATAAACGATCAAACAACGTTGCTGTATATAGAAGGTATGGAAATTATAAAAAAAATTCGAATACTCGGCAATTTCCTGTCCTAGCTACTGCAGTGAAAGGGTGAAAACGATTTTCACTGCTTTTTAATTTCGTCGGCTACTACGCAATAAGCAATAATGAAAACGTGTAAATGTTATTGTGTTTCGTGATTTTTTATTTTAATGACTCAATCTTTAAAATACATTCTACATTCTTTAAGTATGTCTATTTATAAGCGGAAAGTGTATTGACTAACATTATTCCGCGAAATACTCATGATATTTTTCATGAAAAATTTCGCGCGCTAAAAACTCAAAGTATATATATATAATATATGGGACAATGTTTCTCAAGCCGTGCTCGTGACACTGCCTAAAGTATCACCAAAAAATTATAAACCATATATAACCAAAATTAGTATATAATGTCATAATAAGGAACTATTATCATTGTCGGAGAGAACGGAAACAACTGCAACTGCAGCGCTCGGATTTGTAAAGGAAAAATAATCTTACAAGGTAAAATTTAAGTAACGGGCTGTAATATATATCATTAATACATATTTTTTGGGGTATTTCATATTTATATGGTATAAATCAAAACACCGAAATGCAATTGAATTCACAAGTTCCACAACATAGGCAAGTACCTACCTGTCTATGTTGAGATACGATAGTTATAAAAACGGTCATAAGTAGAAACCAGAGTAGTATTTCAAGTTCCATCTTAATATTCAGTAAACGTATGCGAATATCCTCAAAGTTACGAGTACGAAACCCACAAATTCGACGCCGATAGAAAATAACAATTCTCATAATACCCACCTACTAAAATTTTATTATCAAATTCGGAATTTATGCTCACAGATCTCAGTTGGAATCCGTTGGCGGTATGGTTACCAGATGTCGCACATTTTTGGTATAGTCCCAACATTCCTAACTTTACACAAAAGTCCAATTAAGAAAATCGAACATTATACGTTAGTAATGGCTGTGCCCACATCGATTTCAGGTAATAATTTTATAGAAAACAAAAATGTAGTAGTATTCTTTTTTCACAACATATAATATATAAATAAATGAATACCTCAAATATTATTAGGCAATAGAAATTTATAAAGTAAAATAAAAATATATCTACTGTATTAAAAATGGCCACTTAGGTATTATCTCAATTAATTTCTGTGTTAATAAAACATTTGCACATAGATTTACAGAATAAAATAAAACAACAAATAATATAAATAAAATAATAGTAGCTCTCAAAGTACTTAGATTACGTACTTATAAACAAAATAAGTAATTGCCATGACCAAATAAAAATTGTGACAAGTTTGAAAAATAATTAAACATATTAAATTAATTCAGTTCTTAATCTTTTTAAATCGAATTGAATATCAGGTTAAATATATAAATAAACTCTTTTGCTGTATAATTATTCTTATTAATAAATAATTTTAATTTTTTTTTTAATTACTTAACTTTAACTGAATTGAACCTACGTGTTGAAATTCGCTTACAAACCGCAAAATTTCAAAGGTAACATTTTCAAATTCAATAATTTAAAATTCCGGAAATATTCCTCTTTATGGCAACCCTGTTCCGCACGCAGGGTAATGAAATAAGTCATTTAAATTGGAATAGAGATTTCAATGGTGGAACATTAGGCGTTTGGGGTGGCTAAAACGTGGTAATATTGGATTATATCACTGATTTATGCAAAATCTTTATCGAAGATGACACCTGAAATTGAATTTTCGTATCGTCACATTACTTTGGTTGGAATGATCGCAGCACCGAAGGATTTTTCGATCTACCGTAACTTTATTAGCAAATTCACAAACGGGTTAGGTACCTACTAATTTTGCAATTTTTACTTCATTTTGTAAATCATGAGACCATACTTCAATTTAAATATATATCATTCATGACTATTATTATATTTTTCTATACCTAATTATCTCCTTCAATTTTAGAATACAAGGAAGATCATTATTTCGTTAAAAATTCTTTATTGTAGATACCTAAATATTTTTGTCCGTCATTCTAAGATTAATGAGTAAGTAAGAGTTAAGTAAAAAGATGTTCGTACTAAAATAATATGCAATAGTAATACATCGTTTTTAATATCTTACATTCCGCGGTTATATGTTACCGGTAAGCAAATTAGAATGAAAAGTGTTCTACCTAATTGGAATATTAAATAAGCTGACGCTCCATCCAATAGCAAGCTACAATAGTTACAGTGTATGAATATATGAATACCACATTGACATGATGCCCTTGATACCCTTAATGGGTTGCCATATCGGAGTCCTCAAATGTCATGCCTTGCCTGCAAGCAGCTTGGCTGCTAAAATAGGTGGAACCCACGCAGACTACTTTTACAGTCACCTTGGTACGAATATTCAATTTATTAAGTAGTAATATAGTCTATATATTAAGTTACATTCAAATACATTAATCGATTAAATGTTATAGATTAACAAAAACCTAAATATTTTTACAAACTTTTACGTGTTTATAATATTAGTGGAATAAATCTCCATGAATGGAATATTTCAGATATTCAAAGTTAAAATCTCGTTGGAAAATATACTCCAACAGTGCTATTAATACTATAATATTAAGCACCATAAGAATAACTTACCTAGACTTACTTAAGATAGAATATCCAGAGAAAAGGCACTAAAAGTGTCAAACCCGATCGGATTATTGCAATCTGCACTTTCGTAGATACCTTTTAAGTAACTTCAGGTACAGATATAATGAAAGCAAGTGAATAACCAGTTTCAGCTTGGATATATTATTATATTATATATATTATTGTATTAATGTGAATTCTATTGAAATAGGTGCATACAAAATTGTATTTATTATGTATGTATTATGTAAAAGACAAGTTATAAATAGGTAATTATGAATAAAGAAAAAATTATCTTTAAGGACAGAAGCCAATATATATAAGTTCTCTCTGTCTACCACGTAAGAAATAGAGCTTGAGATAAATATATAGAACTTGATGTTATAGATTATCACTAATACCAAATATTATTGTGCCTATTTATCGTGTACAAATATGTAGAATAGGAAAGGAGATAAATATAATATAAACAATAATGAACGTACTGGAACGTACTCTAGAAAATAACAAACTAGATAATTCAAGAGCCAGCCGAGCACCCAATCTTTACGAAGAGGTGCGTCAGAAAACACAATGGGCTTTGTGACTCGAATACATAATAGGATATGTTTTGCATACATTCTGTATTTATATGCACAAAACAGAAATATGCAAATGCATAGGTTTTGTTTATTTGTGTATTTATGACATTAATATGCGTACAGGTGTACCGCTGCACTATTGCTTCTAATATATTAATTATCATCACGCGGATTCCAACAGCGATGTTTTACATGGTCCCAAACCAAATAGAGCCTGTATTTTAGACTTTTTATAGATAATTCGCAGTTATATGAAATACATATTACATATAAAAAATCCATAGATAAATACAAACCCATGAATACATTGCACCAGCACAACACTACATGTATTGTGTGAGGATTGTACCTATAAATATTGGAAGAATCGTAGTTTAAACTCCTACACAACCGAACTTATTTTAATATTCCTAAATTACGGACCATGAAATATAAATTTAAATGAGGGAAGTTACATGTCGCTCACCTAACGCTGAATTTACTCAAACATTTATTTGTTTTTTTTTTTGACTTTCCAACAATTGTATTTTTTTAGTTAATCCACTATCAATAATGTTTACAATATAATATTAATGAAATAAAACAGTAAGATTCGAATAAGAAGTAAATCTGAAATTCAATCAAATTTTAAAAATCCAAATATATTTCTACAGCAGATATCTCGAAATATTATAATAGTCTATTATCTGAATAGATATAGATAGGTACTTTATCAGTCTAAAATAAATATATTTATATTCCACTTAGACGAAACCATCTGTTAAAACATT